GTCAACCTGGTCGACGTCAATATAATGTGTGATATTTGTTTTAAATGTGATATTAAAGAAGTATAACTTCATAAGATAATTTTGTATGATCTACAACAACTCGTCAGTTTTTTTCGAAGAATTTTTCGCACCTGTGAGAAATCATGGTCAGAACTTTGTGCTAAACTAGTTGGGGGGACCACGCGGTGGCGGTCCGCCTTCCTCTCCGAGCCTTAGTCCACGGTGCTGCGTATTTCGAAACTGCCATGGTGCGGCGAAATACATAGAGAAAGCTCCAATGACTGAGCCTTAGACTTGCAAACGAATAGAGCGTCACGTCGCCGCGTGGTAACCCCACCCTACTGAGTTAGTACCCAAAAATTACTTTTTCCACCATCTGAGGGCATCTAACAGACTGCAAACAGCTGAAATACTTCATACATTTCTCCGGCCAACACAATGATGCAATGTAAATTTCCGACAAGCCAAGCACAGACGACATCCTGATCTCTCTCTAAATGACCAAATGTTGTGTCCTCGATCAATGACAAAGGCTGCAAATTAAAGGTTAGCGACGACAACAAAGTCGCGACGGTACAGGAATGTGGGAGAGCCTTCACGGAATGAGCTGGTACCATACTTTGCGAATCCATGAACTCGCTAGCGAATCGCGGGTTCGAGCGACACAATGCGCCAGCTGTTCGAACGATGCGCCGGCGGTTCGAACGATGCGTCACCGGGTCGAACTAGCATCAACTATTCGAACGAAAACTAGCGAATTGACAGAGTCTGAAACTGGCGGAAGCCTTTCTCGTTCGCACGGTCACTTTCACCACTTTCCCGGGCTCACGAGGGCATGAGAGAACGAGAGCCGAGAAGCCCGGTAACGTGGCGAAAATACCCCTCCTCTTCCACTGTCGAGTCGCTGGTACATCGTTCGAACCGCTGGCACATCGCTCGTACTTCATGACCCGCTAGAGGATCACGCATTCGCAAAGTCTGACATCGGCCTGATAAGTGAGTCGGAGAGAGCTACCGTATCATAAAGGTCTAGAGTTGTGGTAGCCAGTACAGCGGGTTACATTAGATGGCCATCATCTGGCTTTCTCCGGCCCCAAAGTAAAAGCTTGCTGTCTCCATTTTGTTGCTCACAAGGTTCAAGCCCAGAAGCGGCCTCCCAGTGTCCAAGTAAAAAAACTCACTGCCTTAGCGATGACAACCTGCTTAATACAACCACTTTAGCTGCTTTTTTGGAGATTGTTGAGCAGGATGAGGAGACCCTTCTGTGGAACTAAGCGATTTACTGCAGGCTATTTTTCGTTAGATACAGACCTAAGCAGAGGAAATTAGAAATCGCAAGGATAGGGAGATATAGCCAAAGAATTGAAGAGCAGACCTACGATGGAGCCCAAGATCAAAAAAACCCTTTTCCACCCCTCGAATGAGGGAGGGGCGTCGGACGAGTTTTCTGAAGTTACTCGCTATTCCATGGTTACAAGGCTTCTGTCAACCAAAGGGTGAGAGCGTAGCTGGAAAAGCACACACTTTGTGTCTTATTGGGACTAAGCCTTTTGAAGAAGATAAAGAAAGAGGAGATGCTGTGATAGTGTGCACTTGTGAGAGCTCCCAGACATCACTACAAAACGCTGAACCGCCAAGGCTCACGGTTGACAGATGTCCTGAGACCGTATTCCATTGCTCATAATTATCAAAATTTTATCTTCCGTTGGAACTTTGTCTATGGGGGTACTTAGATACCCTGGTACCGAATACGATACTCATTTTTCAGTTGGCGCCACTTTGTCACGACGGCTGTTTCCCACGGTTCAAACTTGTAGACAGGGGCCCTGTCTACAAGTTTGAACCGTGGGAACCTGAAACCTTGAACCTGAAACCTTGAACCTGCCACAGGGCTCATTTGGTCTCCTGATTACGAATATGACACTACTCTTTGAATAAGCGCTGTTTTACGCATATTTCCTGCTCTCCTGAGCTCTCTCACTTATAGTGCTCGAAAGCAGATTTTACGATGAAAAGTTAGCTCATTGGAAATAAGGGTAGAGGTGGTCAGTGGAGCAGGGATGAAGAAGAAACCATTTGAAACGGCCCGAAACCCGAGAAATGGGACCCTTCCTTGCCCGTTGATTTCCGCATTGATGCGACTCTCATCGCTGTGCCCTCTTCAACACTACGCTCTCTCTCCCCGGGGTGCCGGCAAGTGGTTTTGCCGGCACCCCGGGGCTAACCTCCCTTGCCCTGCGCGCGAAGCGCGCGCAGCCGAGCCGCTGCCTCGCAGTCGCCCAGGGCGGTCTGGGTGGAGGTGGTTCATTGGTGCATCATTCCCGAGCTGAGGCGCTATACGCTCTCCGTACGTTGGTTGCTGACAACGGTGTGGGTAAACATCAAATAGTGTATAGCTTGCGCTCGCATGTGCCAACGTGGCATTGCGGTACCGCTCACTCTTACGGACTGTTTAAATTCCGGTGCTTCTGTGCCTTTCCAAAAAGGGTCCACTGTCCACCATGACACGTCGTTACGAAAGTAAGGCCGGGCGTCCTTTGTACTGCATTGGGTTCTCCGCCACTATTCAGCTCGCCTGGTTACTTCTGTATGGACCTCCTCTGATACACTACTTTGATTTCGCTGGTGGCATCGGTCGCATCGCTGGCGCTGCGAATCCAGCGATCGCGCTGATAATCGCTTCGATCGCATCCATGACATTCGGCTCATACAATGGCTCCGCCCTGCTTCTTGCCAGAGCATGCGCCAAGAAAGCGAAAAGAGTGATTCTCCGCGCCGGCCGCCGCGTGCACCTTCCAGTCCGGACTTTCACCGCGAGCGTACACTGTAAACGTTGGCTGATCAATCCCAATGAGTCGATTCTAGCAATTGGCCGATCTTTTCATGTTTCAAGATTGCAAGTAGTCAAGTGACTAGAAAAGGGCTTTGAACTTCTCCAGCGCAATCGGAGTACTGCTTCATCGACTAACATGGACACTTGAAAGAATACTCAAAAATAAAATTGATGATGCTAACTTACTTGGGCGGGTTGTAGCGCGCCTCGCTGGCGTCGTACTCCGAATTTGCTCGCACGTAATCCGGCTGAAATATTATGCTCTGGACTAGAAGCGTGGAGGAACAAGACCACCGACGCGCCGGCCGCCGCCGCGTTGTCCCCCCTACTTAAGTAGCACTAAATGTAATCGCTACACGCAACGTGTAGGCTTGGTAGCAGTCTAGGTTCATTGAATCTTCTGATGCATGGTCCCGGTCACGAACACTGCCACGTGCTACCGCCAATGTGATGCCGTGTCAATTACGAAATGGCGGTGTCCAGTCATGTCCGCTTCGACATTTTTCTCCCACTCCGTTTATTGTGTTTCTTCAATATGGTGGTTACTTCGGCTAGTCTTATGGTGTCCCTCTTGCGAGTTGTGGCCCATCCAACAATGATGTGAAAAAGGCGGTGCAATTTTTCTTAGAGGGGTGCGGGGTGATGCGCGCATGTTCGTGCCCTTCAGTGACAACGGGGAATCGTGCGTCAGGAGCAGGGTCAATCCTGTGGGTTTACGGACTACTTGATTTTTCCTCAATGGTCCTGCCGCGATGGCTAGAGCACAGACGATTAGAGAATGCCCTAGGACTAAGCCTTGGAGAGGAGAGGGACCCGCTAGAGAGCGCAGAGGCGGTAAAGGGCTGAGTTCAAGTAGTCCGTCAACCCAATCCTGTGTTGCGACAAGTACCAACGGGGGGTCGTATTTTGTTGAGTTTGTAGGTGGGGGGGGGGGGTCGTATTCGATGTAATCTTAGAATTCATGGGTGAGTTTAGGGCGCGTAGTGTGAAGGAGCGGGAAAATTTGCCGTTTTTTGTATGTATATCCCCCCGGCTTTTTTGGAGGGCAAAAGTGGGTGGGTTAGGTGTGTCGACTGGTCTCAGAATTAAATACTATAGAAACAGCGACCATGATGGCGAGGGTGGTGAAGGGGGGGGGGTCGTGAAATTTTTGATTGGAAGAAGGGGGTCGTAAAAATTTCGGAAAAGTCGCAACGGTAGGACCGACCCTGGTCAGGAGAATGTGGGCATTTGAGGGGCTTCTGTCTTCCTCTCAGAATAGGGTGACAAAGAATTCCTGTAGATGCACTTGTTTCCAATCACCTACTTCCAGCGCATGCATACTGGTGAAACTCGGGTTGGGAGGGGGTGGCGCTGTTCGTCCGCAGCTCTACCCAACGGTGTTAAATGGGAAATGCGTGGGGTGCAGGAGAGGGATCCCTCTCCTGTTCAGGGAAGCATACCTAAGACCGCCGTCACACCCGGCGACGGAGAAGCGACAGCGATTGCTCCATCGCTTTTCCGTCGCCGGGTGTGACGGCGGTCTTACGGCCGAGAGGAAGTAAAGGCAATTCAGGGGGGGGGTGCGTGAGCCGATTCCATTGTGGCAAAAGTTTAAATGTGTGAAAGCGCCGCGCCGTCGAATGGCCCCTATTCGAGTTTCACCTGCTTACTTCCGTAATCCCTTTGAATTCCCCTTGTGTTTTCAACCAGAATCATCCTAAGATGGGTCCACGAGACATGCGGTCCCTAAGGTGAGGCAGGTCACTCGAAATGCGTGAAGTCGTGTCGTGGACCTCGGGATCCCGCAGCAAAAAGTTCAACGTCGCGAAAAGCGGAGAAGTTGCTTCCCGGCAGCTCTACCCGGCGAGTAAGCGGTAGGCGATAAGAGAAGGATACGTATTGATTTGTTAATGCGCCCATGGAGCGGCCGCCTAATCACCTCACTTATCATTAGTTACCTACTCTCTACTCCCCTAATCGATACTTATCCCTTCTTCATAGTCTAATCGCCTAAATGCCTAATCCCATATACGGTCGCCAACTCTGAACGCTGCCCTGGTTTGCATATTTCGAATTTACCTTTAAATTGCTTCTGTTTGAAATGTTTCCAGCATCGTGTAGCAGTTTATTTCTGTGCAGAATACTTTGCTTTTTTTACACTAACAAGTAATCTAACTGATTGCAGATGACATCGAAAAAGACTGCAGAAAACGCAGTGGCTGAAAAGGCTGAGAGGATTTACAGAGTTCAGACGAAGGAGCAAGATATTTGCGAGGTGCCCGCGTCTGTAATCAGCATGTCCAAGTTGATCACAACTATGCTCGAGGTTTGTGTTGATTTCCGTAGATCTAGTATTGTTTCGGAACATGGTGTTCAGGATTTGAATCTGCAAGACGATGACACTCCCATACCAATACCGAATGTCACAGCACCAGTTTTCAAAAAGGTATTTCATTTTTTGCCAGGTTACTGTTCTCAATACTAATAACGTCTTAGGCTGGTGTCAGAGTTCGCGCGAATCGCAAAAACCGCAAGTGTCTCATTTGAATTGAAACACTGAACATCAAAGAAAGAAGATCGTCATTCAACCATCACCATCAACCGGGAATGGCGGCGGGACAATCATGATACTGTAACCTATCGCGCCATCTCGCGACGGATCGCAGACTCTGGCATCAGCCTTACTCATTCCTGCTTTGAGAGGAGCAAGTTGTGTACATTATTGACTCAGGCAGCCGTCGCAGTTCAGTCGCACCTATTCATACTCGGTTGTGCGATCGTGTGATCAAGTAATGTGGTGAGTTAGGAATGTACTACCAATACGATCGCACCATCCAACCAGTCAGACGATCGATGTGTGTTTCCCCACACTTGATTGTGCGATCGAACGATCGGTCAGATTAACCTATGGTTCAGTTTACGGACTGCTTGAATTCCTGCCATCCTGCCACGAAGGCTAGAGCACACACGATTAGAGAACAGCGCCTCGCTCAACTCCAAATCTCAAGGAGAAGTTGAGAGCCCTAGGACTAAGCCTTGAGGGAAGGGGGGGGGGGACTTGGGGTGGGTGAGCAATTGTATTGTGGCAAAAGTTTGAATGTGTGAGATCACAGTAGTCATGAGCCGCTGTTTAGGCGAGAGAGCGCAGGTAGGAGTGACAGCAAGCAGCGGTTGGCGGGGCTTGCGGACGAAGGTGTGGACTACGGGTCGGGCGAACTTCTAGCGTCCTTGACGCAGTTTGTAGCCGTAAAGGGGCCACGACATCAACGCTTCTGCCTTTCTACCAATTGGGGACGGAGCAGGTCAATATGCCTAATCCCGGGCCGTTCCTTAAAGCAACAGTCCCAGCAGGGTTTTTACCTTCGACACTAATGGTGTGGAACGATGCGCTAGCCCTAGTCAAGAACATAAGAAGTGTGACTGAACAAAAAACTCACCTTGGAAAGCCGCTAGAAAGGGAGCTGAACGGCTTCGAAGTGGGCGTGGTTGAATCGGCCGAGGGGATGCAGGCCGATTCAACCACGCCCACTTCGAAGCCGTTCAGCTCCCTTTCTAGCGGCTTTCCAAGGTGAGTTTTTTGTTCAGTCACACTTCTTATGTTCTTGACTAGGGCTAGCGCATCGTTCCACACCATTAGTGTCGAAGGTAAAACCCTGCTGGGACTGTTGCTTTAAGGAAGCACTCTCAAGATCGCCTCGGTAAAAAACTGTGAAAGTTGTGCAGAGAATATGGCTATCATTAGCACCAGAACGTTATCTGGATTGATGTATCACTAAAAATCTAGAACCTGTGCGAAAATTAATTCTAGGTGTCGTCTAGCATCGGGTGACATTGTCGCCAGTGTGTCAATATCAAATTTTTATGTTGATGTCTTTGATTCGACTGGAATCGCGTGCAACTGTCTCCGACCGGTTGTGTGTCCCCGGCTGGATACTGCTGTAGACATCCTTTGTTGAATAAACCTTATTCTATTTGGTTCAGGTGGTAACGTGGTGTGAGAAGCACAAAACAAACGGAAAAGAAGATAAGAAGCTTGAGGAATGGTCTGAAGAGTTCTTCAAAGTTGAATATCCTATGCTTTTTGAAATCATTATGGTGTGTTTAGGCATTAATAATGTGAGTTACATTGCAGTAATTCTGTTATTGTTTTCAGGCCGCTAACTATCTGGACATTCCCACATTGCTCGACGATGGTTGCAGGAAGATCGCCAGTATGATGAAGGTTAGTTGCAACAGCTTCGAAACATGATCGAAAGTGTAGCACAGAATGCTTATCTCATATTTTCAAGCGTGTTAGCTTGAAAGCTACAATTCAAATATGAGTGTTTGTCATCTGCCTAACGGTATAGGGGCTGTATGCTATTCTTTCTTCGGATGATACGTCCCCCTTGCCGATGCATTCCTTGTTCCAGCCCGGGGTGAGAGACGCTCTGGGATCTGCTACCAACCGATGGCTACTGTAGCGACCTTGACGTTAAAGCAAGCCCTCTATCTCTAAGCGGTAGCGCTGCCCCTATTGCCGGGAATATGGAAACGCAGAGGTGTGGCGGATCCTATCATAACGCAATACTGCTTCCCAGCCCTACTAGCATCCGAGGATGACGCGCTTCCTAGCATAAAGCTCCTGGGGGCGAAGTATCGTGCTATGAAGCTGTTGACCGGAATATGTTTCGTTCGAAGGCGCATTCTAACATCGCGTTGGTGGGTCATTAAGTTCAATAATAAAGCAGGTATGTGAAAATAACCATTGTGTAGAAATACACAGTGTTATTTTCGCACCAGGGGGACGAAAGATATGCAAGGAAAAGGAACTACTGAAGAAACTGAAAGGAGAATCATCTCTGTGAAAAGTCGGCGGTGTCACGAGGAAGGACGCTGAGACTAGAAAGCATAGCGGCGAGAGGAGACGCAGACTCACCTGCATCAGTTACGGTGAGCAGTTTCACAGCGCCGCTGTTCTCCCATGCGCTTATGATTGCAAAGTTTTTGACTTGCGGTTGCTGGTCTAGTTATATTCCCAAACTGAGTGGGTCTGAACTACTGGTGAAATCTTCAACGTAAAAAATACCAGTTGGCGCCGCACGCATTGCGCGCACAACACTGATCTGCGGCGATATGTGATGGTGCGGCGAAAATTTTCAATTTGGCCTGATACACCACGAATATCTGACTTCTCAGCTAAATTCTTATCAGCTCCATCATCGACGGCTTCAACCCTCTTTTTTGCTTTTTTTTTATTGTTTTTTTTTATTTTCGCTTCGTCAGCACACACTAAGTCCTCTTTTCTCGAATCTCCGGACTGCTATGGACAAATCGTGGCAAACTTTGCCTAACCTTCGGGTGCGTGCCCCGTCAAGCTTTCCTTGTCGCAAGCCTCGCAGCGCGTCCTGTTTTTCGCCGGTCTCTGGGACCTCTTGGAACCAAATTACGACACTTTTGGCAAACTCCGCCCACTTAGGTGCGTGCTCTACCCACTAATAGCATTTGACCTCCTTTCCTTCGCCGACCTCTACTCCCTTTTTCCCAGCCTCCTGGACTTCTTGGAGCCGAGTTATGAATTTTCGTCGCAAACTCCGCCCACTTTGGTCAAGCCCCGCCCACCATTGACAGCTGGCCTCCACTCCTCCATACACCTCTATCCACCTTTTTCCGGCTCTTTAAGACTTCCCCGACCCGAATTATGAGGGCTTGTAGAAAATGCTGTACACTTCAGAGCGCGCCCCGCCCATTGGGCAGGCCTCCGCCCACGTCATGTATGCTGGGAAACACTTTAGACATTGCTCCCCTTACACCAATTTGTTTTCTGCTCTGTAGGCTTTCTCCCAACCGAGTTATGAAATTTTTCATAAAGCACTGCTTTTTTGGAGAACGCCCCGCCCACCGGGGGTGGGTCTCCCTAATTCGATGTGACTTACCAATGCACACCTTTACCCACTTTTTGGCCCAGTTTCAAGGTCGTTTTCTAAGAGAATTGAAAATCTCGGTCGTCAGTACACTTCATGTCGACGCACGCCACGCCCACTGTGGGCTCCGCTTAGCTGATGTGTGTTTTGTACTTCGTGAGACCTTGCCCACCCATCCCACACTTGACCCGGTCCCTCCAGGCGGATCCCGAGGAGCTAGGGAATTTCGTGACAGACATACAGAACGACAGACAGAACGACAGACACGACAGACGAAGCGCTTTATAGTAAGTAGGATAACAAACAGTAAACGTAAACAGTAAAACAGCAAAGACTAAACGCGTGAGTTAGAAAGACTTCAGACGCTCATTTCCGAAGGAATATAGCGGCGGTCACGATAGGGATTTCCTCAATTGAAAGAGACATCCTCTTCCATATTTCCTGTCACTTACTGTTTTATAGGGTAAGACTCCGGAAGAAATTCGTACTCTGTTCAACATCACCAACGATTTTACACCTGAAGAAGAAGAGGAAATCAGAAGGGAGAATGCATGGTGTGAGGAGTGAGTAGATACTGATTAACGAACACATCCCTAAATGTACATTTTGAGTTTTTTGAGACAGTTTTTGAGATCGGTTTTGTGGTTCCCCTTTCTCTTTTAGAACTTCTAGAATCATACGGCTTCAGGCCTGTGCCTATTGAAACGTGAAGTATTTACATAACAAAATGTGTTGAATAGTGTTAGAACTAATTGGTCTTTAATATTTTTTCGACGTTTTGTGCATTGTTAGCATGAATCATGAGAAGCAGTTACATGTATACTTGTATAAACAACGATATTGTCTACCTCCTCTCTTATTGTAGCTTCGTAATGAATTGTTCCCAAATGAGTCACTCGTTTGCGCCATAAGAGGATGATAAGTGGAGCACTTCTCAGAGTTGCTTATGTCTGCCCGAAATCGTCTCTTCGAAGCCTAAGTTTGGCTCAAAGTTTAGATTTAGTTTTGCAATCCACCAAACCCCTTATCTTTTCTAGCGGTTCCGGTGATCTGTCAGGAGACGCGACCGTCGACCTTGTTAGGGAGCTCAATTCTTCCGATCATGGTCGACCGTTGCGTTCATATTTTCTCCAACTCGAGCAATCGTGCACCAGTGCTCTCAATGTGGTATAAGATTGTCGTTCTTGCCTGGAAGCGCACCAGCGGTTACCTTGAGACGGCGATGAGAGGGGCGTGAAGTAAAATCTAGCACACACCTCAAAAATTTGACAGTTTTCCAACTTTCATGCAGAGTTGAAATTTGCAGGATTTCCGCCTTAGAAACCTCCGAGGGCCTGCTTCTGATCAGGGGCGGTATTCAATCCTTCCCCCAGGGGGATATATCCCCCTCCTCTGATTCAATCCTCTGGGGGGACAAAAAAGGGTTGCGTCATAGGACCTAGCATACCTCTGTGTTTCTACCTGCCAGACAGTTAGAGCAGCGCTACTACCCTCCACTGATGAAGCACTCTTTTCCCTGAGGGGTCGCGCTGCTCTAACTGTCTGGCAGGTAGAAAACACAGAGGTATGCTAGGTCCTATGACGCAACCCTTTTTTGTCCCCCCAGAGCATTGAATCAGAGGAGGGGGTGGGAGGGGCAGGGCATATGAGGTATATTGCGCTTACAAACCTCCATCAGAAGTGGCAGCTCTGGCGCGAACGTGAAGTTTGGTGAATGTGCGCGCCGTTGGCGAAATGATTTACCCCCCTCTCCCCCTCCTCTCGCGACCTTTTTCTGAAAGTTCGCCCACTGGTACTCCTCTCTCTGGTGTTTTTGAACTTGAACACTTTTAAAGTCCTCAAGCTTGCAACAATCGTCAACAAGCTTCCTCGAAAATATTCGTTAAACGACGCTCTCCAGAGAAATATGAGATTAGTTCGCAAAAATCATCAGTAATACTCTAGCCACATTCCTAGCCGATGTCAGCCACCATATAACGCCGCATGCTAAATTCGCATCTCCTTCACCAACTTATCGCCATTTTTTAAAATTTTTGTTGTCACAATAAATAGGTTTTTGTGGATTACTAAAATTACTTTGTGCTAATCATGTTTTTGTTTATTTACTTCAAAACGTCGTGAATTCGTGGAAGAAACCGCTTTGAAAATTTGGATTTGGAAAAAATTTAATGTATGCTTCCGACCAGGGCGGAAGTGGTGTAGTGGCAAGTGGCACGCTTACCACGCGAGCGGTCCGGGGATCAAATCCTGGGTCGTGAGTCGCCCGGGCCAACCAAGCCTTCCATCCCTCCGGGGTCGGTTAATTGGTACCAGACTTGTCTGGGAGGATAAAAACACTGACTTGTACATCGGCTGGCCCCCGCAAGTCATTGTATAGGCCACATCGCATTCAAACGCCACTACGAATGTACAAATGGAAGTAGAATGCGTGCCGCATCCCAAAAAGGGATTGATCAACGGCAAATGCTTTATCCTTTATCCTTTTAAGCTCCGAGAAGTCAACCTTCCCTCACCATTGCACAAGAAATACAAACTCATACATGATAAATCAAGTTTGAGCGTTTGGTTCAAGCCAATCCTGCTCTGAGATGTGCCGCGCACCCGACTGTTGCTCAAAGTTGTGAAGACATTAATGAATAAATAAATCAAAGAAAAACTATTATTCAAAACTTTGTGGTTTGAACTTTGTGGCTAGTAAGTACGAGACTGAAACCTATTGAGATCAACCAAAATTCAGTACCATTTGTATTTTTTGAGCTTGGCGCGCCTATTTTTGGGAGGACGCGAGTTTTTTGACTTTGAATGGTCATAATTTCTCAACATCATTTTCGTACAAGCAAGAACTTTATTTAGAATTTCAGGATTTAGCCTTTTTATAAGGTTTTCCGACGGGAACTCAAAATGTAAAAAAAAATTTATTGTTGGAAGATCTTTTCTCAAAAGTCACGTGCATTTATTTGGATGTGAATTCTCTGAATGTAACTGGTCATAATTTCTCTAAAATTGAGCTTTCAAAATCGTTGAGCTATATCAGAGACTCCAAAAACGTATTTCCGATATTAAACCCCCCGAAAATCCAGCGGTACCGAAATATTTCCTTTGCTAAATTTTCTTTTGAGCATCAAGAAGACATTCCTTTCCTACCATTGCACTTCCCTGCAGTGAAGTTAGATTCTACATACTTCCTTGTGGAACATTCTTCTCTCTCAGGATTAATTGAGGTTTATGCGAGGCACTTGGTCTGCGCTGAGATGTGACATGCGCTCATTTGTTAGAGCTGCAAGGCATTCCAATATCTATCCTACCTTGCGCTAGCTTACTAAAACAAGCCAGTGTGATCCGGTTTTGCAGTGATCGAAGCTGAAGCCGACAGACAAAGTTCATCTAGTTATATATGAACTTCTTGACTTGAAGTGCTCCTTATTCTCCTGGTGGTTAACTTGCTCAGGATAACACGTACTATGAAGAGAAAACCAGAAGTGCTTTTAGAAGCTTTTGATTTTCTCACTCAGTTTTCTGAAGCGATAACCTCCCTTTCTAATCCATATCAACAATAACACTGCGGCGAGTTCTGCCCTGGCCCCTGCGCTTATGACATCCCGATTCCGTAGACCAAATACGGCTCCCTCGTTGGTAAATTACGAACAGACGGTTGACCCTGGTCGCAGAGATTGCAAGGTTACATGAAGCTTTTTCTCCATTATGTGCAAGGCTGCCGTCAGAGTCCGCGATCCGTCGCAGGTTTCGCGCGATGCGATTTGCGCGATTCACGCGACGGGTCACGGAAATCACAAGTGCCCGATCAATACTGCAAGGTGTTCTCCAATCCTGCCGCCACTTCTGCTTGATAGTGATGGCTGAATGACGACTGCTCATGATTCCACTTGTTTCATATTCAGTGTTTCAAATGTTCAAATGGGGCACTTGCAATTTTTGCGATCCGCGCGCCGCGTAAATCGCTTGAAATCGCGCGAAATCAGCGAAACCTGCGACGGATCGCGGACTCTGACACCAGCCTAAGGCAGCCGATGCGGGCCACAATTTCGTTCCTACGTGTCAGCAGGAAGTTAAGACGATGAAAGCTCCTAGGAAATGTGGCTGAAAATATTTATACGAGCAAATTACAACAATCATTGTGTGAACCAACATCAGAAATGAAAAGATACTTTGTATTCGGCAGATTTGCAACACAATCAATGCGTAATTATTGTCACAGAAGACAGCTATGGAAGCGTATCACGCATAAAAAGGAGTACCTCTCGGCGCACATCTACGTAACCACTGAGCGTGCGATGGTAGACGAGCTTGGCTATTGCCACCGTTAACACATTGACGCCTACCCTTACCCATCATTGTTAGCGCGCGATACGGTTAGAAGCGTTCATACTATACGATTTGGAGCATTAAGTGATGGAATATTTGGAGGTTATGAGATTCATTTGGAAATACTAGATACCAATTGATCAGAAGTTAGGAGAATAAGGGAGAAGAATCTTCAGCAAACCAACCAGTGCGTATTCATCCTTTTAGCACAATCTCCGAATCTTCTAGCCTCTCTATCGATACCCGTACTTTTCATTATCGCCTAACTTCATCTTCAAAGTTGCGGAGTATATATCCTCAGAATCTGCGAAATGCGCCGAAATTAGCATTGAGATCAACTCGTTAACGTGCGAAACATCCACAACATATTCACCTAGAATGTGTGCGCTTGTGGTTAGGCCGAAATTCATGCTTTATCACTGACAATGGAATGAAAAGGGATTGTCTTAGGGCAATTCGCGATGCCAAGATGTAAGTAATAAGAGTGCAGGAACAAAGCATACGTAACATAGAATAACCATGCAGGTTGGTATCTCGTTAAAGAAAACAAAGAAAGCAAGAAAATCGACAAGACAGCAAAATATCTTCGCTAGAAGTGGGAGGAGTTCTTTCTACAGTTCATTTCTCGAAGTTTCACTAACCAGGGAAGGTCATCAGACCGATCCGGCCATTTGTAATGAGCTCTATATCCTTTCAATAGCCTCCAGACGCTGAGCTCGAAACTGTCTCGCCGATCTGCTAACTGAACTTGAACTGACTTTTGAACGCAGTTACAAAGCAAGAAAGCGCAGCGGTAGTGCCTTGTCTCGCAGGCAAGAGGTTGTGGGAACTGCTCGCAAACTCTTCATACAGGTAACTAATGGCAAGTGTTGATAAATTAACGAATTTAGAAGCTTTTCTGTCACATTGACATGAAAAACTGAAAAGCAGGTTTCTCGAAATCCGTTTCGACCACCTCTTACTTGCGAAACAGGACACTACCGCTGCGCTTTCTTGCTTAATAACTCTGTTCAAAGAACCGGTTAGAACATAATGATTTTTGAGCTCAGCGTCTCAAGGCAAGTACAACTGTACAACCCACTGATGGCCGGACGAACCTGATGACCTTCCCTGCTAAGCGGGTCTATGGATATGACGCGGCGGCTATCGCTTTTGATAGGAAGTTGTGCGGATAAGCTACTCCCAGCATGCTTTGCTGATATCCTGTGGAGTATGTTAGAAACAGCTCATCCACACTTCCATCGAATGCAGCGACGGCCACATCACTATCAAGTGCGGCGACGGCCACGTAAAATCTATAGACACGCCTGATCAGATTTCGAAATGGACTGTAGCATTTGTTTATAGGTTGTGCATCACTTGAAGTAAAGAAAGCAGTCGAGAAATTAGCTAAGATACCCCCTTCCCATTCCCGGATCCCCAAATTCACATTCGAGCTGCAGAATCGGCCCTCTTCGCTCTCGCGATGCACAGGTTGATTGTTCCACGCGCATTATTTAAAGCAACAGTTCAGGGAGGGTCCGAAAATTTCAATGCCACTACTACTGAGGGATACACGAGCCCTAGTGAAGAACATATGCAGTGGAAATAATAAACGAACTTACCTCAGAAACTCAAAAACAGGGTGGAAAGTCCCTCAAACATGGGTGTTCTTGGGGATTTCCCCAATCCCGCCCCCTTGCCGGCCGTCATTGGACGCGTCGGCAATCGTGCTCGTTTTGGGACCACAGGGAAAATTGATTGAAAAATGGAGCGCGTTTACAGCGGGCACGTTCAGACAACTCGTCCAACGTGCGTCTTTATCCATTGCTGAGCGGCAGAGGGAGAGTACCTGTCTAAGACCCTCCCCGACGTTTTTTTCCAGTTTTTCATACATTAATCGTCTGGTTTTCATCTACAACTTCATTATTGGTGGTTTTTTCCCGCGAAACCGTTCCTGAACTGTTGCTTTAATCAAAGAATGTGTCTTCAAAAGCTCAATAATTAATTGAGTTACTCGTAGCGTGGTCTTCTAAGTCCCCCTTCTTCCTGATCGGACCTATCGTTCCACGGTCGTCGTTGTCCTCTGCGCTCGCCACGCCATTCTCCTCGTCCTCTGCGATCGTCACGCCAATGACCGCCTCTCCCTCCTCGCCAATCACCTCCACCTCTTCCGCCTCGCCAATCACCACGCTGCCCATTGCCCCAACCTCCTCTGTGAGGTCCTCCATTGCTGAAAGATTCCATTATTAGAGTTAGAAGAATACCAAGAAACAGAGACTTCTGTAAAATGCATTACTTTTCGAAATTCCGTCTTGCTCTGGAATGGAACGGGTGTATGCAGATCACAGGATCAAATCCCTCACTGATTCTTGCGAAAGATTCATTTGCCTAAAAAAAGAAAAGTTCCGCCAAAAAATGCAATAATTTGAAACCATCGAAGTTTCTCACCACAGTGTGATTATACTATGCTATGGAAACTATTGTTCCAATTTTCTTCACTATTCACTTAACGCTGTAAAAGGGTAAACAGCAAAAATTGCCGATCGCATCATGGGCTACATTCAGCAGCAAAATAAATGTCTTATTCATTATCAGGTACCACAGAACAGCCAGAGATCACATTGGCTCCCCCACTTTCTTCACGATTTGGGGCGCGGCCGCGGCGAGCGCGGACGAGTCGATAGTGCCCGCGAACTGTGGTGGTGGAGCGTTTTCAAATTTACCCGCACAGTTCGCGGGCACTATCGACTCGGCCGCGCTCGCCGCGGCCGCGCCCCAAATCGTGAAGAAAGTGGGGGAGCCGATGACGTTCTATAAAATACCATACGAATAATGCTCAACAATTTAATGAATAGATATCAATCCAGGCTCAGGTTGAAAGCATCCCCATGTCGCAAAGAAGAGTTTGAAAATAATCTTGAAAGGTTAACTATTAAGTTGATTAATAGCTCACTCGATTAGGAATAGGATGAGCAGCAGAAAATACACATTATTTAATTTCGAATAAATGGAACGATGTATGGAGATTTGTTTTTGGGCCAATAATAGGTGATTAAGGGCACTGTTGTCAAAAACTAATGAGCTTCTCTTTTCTCCTTTCCATTGTAAGTAAATTGTAAGGTGCTAAAGGAACCACAAGTTGCGGGTACAATTTGATTTGGTCACTCGCCTAGTGCTTCGCAACATTATAACTAGCTACGAAATAAGAAATCATCAGGGCACCTGGATTAATCAACCAATTGTTGAGTAGGAGATAACTTAGAATAAAAGACTGGTGATTAAACCACGCTGCAGAGTTTAAGAATGCGTGGAAATCGAAAAAAGGAGGCGAATTGTGAGGGAAACCTTCGCGTAAGATGCGCTAGCTGAGGTTGAATATTTTGAGGGTGTAGTTCATTAGGACAGAAAGCGAATTTTTCGCGTTTCGCGCGCGAAACATTTTTCGCTGCGGAACTCCAGGTCCACTCATGATCAGCGGTGGACCTGAGGTTCCTGCAGCGAAAAATGTTTCGCGCTGCGAAACGCGAAAAAGTCGCTTTCTGTCCTAGTGAACCACACCCATTTGTTGAAACTCTTCTTTCGCATTGGTCGAAAAGAATAAAGAACACAAAGCGAAATATATGGAGATTACCATGGTGTAGCGATCGCGAAACAGTTCGTCCAGAGACGAAGACGGCTTTGTTGGATGGACATCTACAGCGTCAACTCTTCCGGCTTCTTCGACATCGACTGAGCTCAAAGAGGATGCCATGATGTCGCTGTCGCTTTCGATCATTACTGATGATATCCTGAAAACCAAGAAAGGTACTAATCAGGAGTTAAACCCTTCAACTGAATCCATTGCATATCAAAATATCAGTTCAAATCCTTTTGAAGGCCAAAAGTAATGGCAAATTTAAATTCAATAACGCCTCGATCCTTCGAGTGATTGCACAATTACTTCAGAATCACACTAAGCTAAAAATTACTCGATCACCTCATCTTAAACAACGAATGTAGAAAATCTAAATGCCACTTCACTGCTCCATGAAGAAAAGTTAGACGTGTGACGAAAAAGGTCGTACGCAGAGGAACAGCAACCTTTGGAAAATACAGTTTCCTAAATTACGAGTGCTGCATGTTTACCATGAATTTGAGCACTTTTCTTCATCAATAGAAACGGCTTGAGCAGTTTCTCAGCTCTTCACAGGTTTGTAATTCTCGATTATCCACTAACTTCAGACTACATCGCCCAAAGCCCCCACTGCAAGAGGAATTCGTTAAAATAGGTTGTTCCTTTTTTGCATGTATGAGCATGATGTTCATCGTGATTCATACCAAACATGCTTGCTCCCCGTATTAGCGAAAATAAATGGAGCCCGCTATTCCATGCACCATTCAGAAGTTGCGCAACGATATGCTTTCATTTCGTTCCTACGCCATTTCTTTGCGCGCTGTATGAAGTTTTTCAAAGTTTGTTGTTTGGCTACGCTTTAGGGAGGAAAGGGTGAAAGGCCTCCGTGAAGCGTGTGCACTATCCACTCTTCACGTAATTCCTACCCCTCAAACGCTTAGTCTCTTCCATAGCGCCATGCCGCAACAAATAGCTTCACAAGTAATCGTAAATATGAAGAATTGGTGTTAAGACTTTGCACCCTACTGTAATTTAGTGATGTTGTTGCTTTGCTGGTAACATAACTGACGCATGACTGTGTTCATCATCCCTATTTTCTACTCCCTCACTTGCTCCCAATCTGACCCCGCTCTCCCTAATCTCAAATTACCCACGTTTCCTTAGGCCATACGGACGGTGTACCCTGCATTCTATTTGGCCGTGATCTGTCCGTGGTATCGCATTATTTTTCTCTGCTGAAAACCGTTCAACATTTGTGCTTGCCCTTCAAAATTCTCGCCGTGAAGAAAGTGGGGGAGCCGTACAGCTCCAACCCAATGCATCTATAAATCCACTACATTATCGCAAAGGAAGCGAGATCACTACTTTTACATCACCGCTTCTATATCACCGTGCCTAGCTGTGCACCCATCCGCCTTGCAAAACGATACGCGGACTTGGTGGTAGTAGTAGCCAGTAGACAGTACAAGCCTATTGCCTTGTCGACAACTCTTCCACTTTGAACAGATGTTAGGAGTTAGCTTACGCAATTTGGTGAAAATTGTGTAGCCAAGTAGTAGCCATTAACCTAAATTAGCTCTTTAAAACTCTGGAACACCTGGTTTGTGCAGGGACAGCTGCGATTTGAACTCACGCCGGTCGTATGGCTCTAACGAGGATTAGAATTTTTCATGATTCCTAACTAAGCGCCTTTTAAAAATAGTCCTACGCAGTGGTGAAAGTGCTTTGGTGCATGGCGTAGACTGTTTTGTTTATTTTGATCTGTTCTTGAGAGCCATTTACAGACGTGCGAATGGGGCTCTTTTCACACCTTTTGTCATTTTGCGCTGGCGTCTATGGTGGAGCATATCTCGCACAGAACTACGAGGTGAGTGGCTTTCTGAGAATCTTAGACTGAGCACATGCTTACTAGCGTTGTAAGCAAATTGTGACCTCTCAAGCAACAAACACCCTCATCACCATAAGAGCAATACCAATAGATTTAAAACCATTTTCATTTGTGGCAGCCTTTCCTACCCATCACTAGTGACGGATTCATTGAAGGGTAAGTGAAGGTTTTGAAAAATGTTCTGAAATAATGCTACTGCACGCGCACCATGGGCTGCCGTCAATGTGTTGGTCTTCAAATAGTAACGGTAATGAGGGAGTAGTGAGGAAGACGAAGAACATCCGGCTCCGTGCCCACCTCTTCGATTCCGCTGTCCTTCCTGCCTTAACCTACGCCTCAGAGACTTGGACTCTGCGCAGGCAGGACGAGCACGGAAGTGCAGAGGGGAATCCGGAGTTCCGAACTACGCCAACGATCGAAGATCAGGGACGCTGCCGTTTTCGCCAAGGAATCGAAGATAAGGTGGGCCGGACACGTCATGCGATTTTGCGATGACCGTTGGACCAGAGCGGTTACCGACTGGATCCCTCGGGACGTCAAACGAACACCTGGACGACCGCCGGCCCGATGGTCAGACTTCTTCACGAAAGCTCTGAACGAAAGGAATGAAGGCTTCGTGTCCCTCGAGCGAGGAGGATCCACTGGACAACTCTTGCACGCGACAGGGACGAATGGAGACGTTGCTGGCGCCCGCTCGAGCAATTCGATGATCAACGGGACGACAGGTGATACAGGTGATATTCGCAGCAAAACGAGTAGGAGCTTACATGTGGGTGCTGATAAACTATGGTAACTATTATTATGAAAAGCTGAGTTACGGCGAATGGTGCCCTGGTAGCTTAACTTTTACCTCCCCCACCCCATCCTGGTAGGCGAAACTCATTCAGAAATGTTTGTTCTAGATAGGAGTGAAATCCATGAAGGAACCGTTTGAATCATGAAGTAACCCATTCAGTAGCAAAATTTCTGATGTATATGAGAAAATGGTGTGCGCATTTTTCCCCATTAGCGTTGCATTAAGCTAAACCAAATGACAATCACTACGGGTGAAGATTTGTACCATACTTCATACTGAAACAGCACCCATAGAACAGAATTCCATTTCTATTCTATCGATGTTTTTCACGCCAATGGCCGATGTCAGACTTCGCGATTGGATCGATTTTGCACCAGTTGCAGGAGCGACGGATCGCTTGAGCGATCGCTTCGCGATCCGTCGACAGGGAGCGATCCATCGCAACCACGCCCCTTTCGATCGATACCCTGGCAGACTATCCGATGCGTAGTCTTTTGAATGATTAATAACTAGTGAGTGGGGTTACTATTTATGCACCATACCTGCAAAAAAGTATCGATAGATTCACAATGAGAATAAAGCGCCATGCCAAACAATTGAGGGATGTGCAATTACAAGAGAATGAAGTAACAGGTTATCACATCACAGAATCCAATCAAATAAAAAAAAATCCTTCTATGACTGCTTGGATGACGAGCGTCTTAATCAATTCTTCAACTTTTCAAAGCAAGCAAACCACCCATCTCTTCACTAGGTATTAACCATTCAAAAGTCTACGCACCGGTTAGTCTGCCAGGGTATCGATCGAAGGGGGCGTGGCCGAGATGGATCGCTCCCTGCCATAAGGGTGCGTGACGATTCAATCGTGGCGATGGCTAGGTCGCCGCACTAGCCGCCGCAGCCCGCGATGCGACGTCGGACGTGGCTGGCTAGAACTCAGAGTTTTAGCACAGGTGAATGTTTCTCGTCCTTTGCCGTTATTCAGAAGCTTATTCGGTCATACTGATGGTATTGCCCTCCTCACCGTTCCACTGCGTCTTGCAACGTAATATTTTCCAACTTAGCCAGATTTTCGCTCTCTGATAACAATTCAGGCAGTTGATTATCAAAGAAGTCTCATTATGTTCAAAAGGACAACCTTTACGTGGCACAAGCTCTGTACAGTGAGGCTTAAATAACTGCGGAGATCTTAAGGTGACTCTTGTTGGCTCACTGATGTCCTGGAACTTTGGTCTTATCAGTTCTCTGATCCCACCAGCAACTTATGGACAAGGACCGTTAAGCCAAGGCTTATGTAAAGATCGCCACCATTTGCCGCGCGCGACGCTGCCCGCCGCGTGAGCGGCGTGACCTCATTAGCCGACGATTGAATTGACCGTCACCCCTGCCATAACGGCCAATGGCACATCACGCCCGAAGCGATGGATCGCTCGAGCGATCCGTCGCTCCTGCAACTGGTGCAAAATCGATCCAATCGCAAAGTCTGAGATCGGCCGATATCAACTACATATTGATCTTGTTCCATGCCAATTCACCCTAATCCGGCCTCCTCAACTTGATTCTTCATGAAAATGTCGACTCATGTTGTGAATGAAAGCGTAAAGCCGTAGTTCCTTGTAAAACAATGGTTAATCTCAATCTAACTCACATAGCGAAAGTTGAGCGCAGCTATGAATACGCATGAATATAGATTGGAATAACTAAAACAGCTATTTGACAGCCTCACGATATCTCATTTGATCAGCCGTCATCATGCTCTAGGAAATTTGCAGTCAGACGTTTTCTTACATAATACAAGTTTCTGGGAGCGGTCGTTGCTTGGAAGTTATGTCCTTGAACTTATTACAGAAATAGTTACAGATCGGGAATGTTCCGTCGATGTCAGAGCTTGCAAAACGATTAGAAAGTTATATACAAGAGTACAAGAAGCCTGAGCGGTGAGATCGTCCTGTAGTTCAAGCCGTCTGGAAAGATTTGTTGTGCAAATAATCTAGCTAGGGTGTTGTATTTTTGAGTATATTGTGTTTCTTGTGTAAATAGGTTATGTGTATGAGCAAGAACCGATTTCAGTATGAGCGTTACGGCAAAAATAAATATTATAATAGCTGCTGAACTATGAAGAAATCATAATTAAATAGAGTTCATACATACATTACCCTCCAACAAAGTTATCGGATTAAACGAGAGTCAGGTGATAAATCAGATGTTCATGCAGAATTTCGGACTATTTTCCTAATGATTTCTCTTCTCTTCACTTTTTTCAAACAGCTTCAGAACTCAACTCGTCTTTTAGTGTAACAGCCAAACCAGATTTTTTTTTGAGTTTCTAGATAACGGCAGCAGGATTTTTCCATGGATTGTTGTCTGGAACCCCGTTATTCCGCGTGGATGTCGGTATACCAGTGTTTCGAAGTGTCTCGGTAAGCCCCTATGACCCTAAGGTGGCGAGCGGGATAGCCGAGTGGTGCAGGTTCTGTGTTGCGTTCAACCTCTGGTAAAGTGTGAAGAAGAAATGTAGAAACTGTTATAAATACAAAATAAACAAAAAATGGTTTGTAGCCTGATCCTGCCTACTATGACACAGCTTGATTGCCTTTTCCATGCAGCGGGAATGCAGTCTGGTTCAATAGGTTCAAAAGTGGTATAGTGGCACTCTGGGCTAACCTCCTTTTAAGCGATTAAGCTGAAGTAATATGAACCTGTCCTACAGGATTCTTGCTATCTTTTCTACTGTTTTCCTCTTTGTTAATTTTTTCTTCTGCCTGGTTTAGAAAATGCTAAATGTTTTTTTCATCTCTAGCCGATCTTACAATTAGAGCCCAGCTCGAGGTATTTAGAAAAACTGAATTTTCAAAACAAAAGCGAGTTGTTCTTTCCCGTTATGGCCGGTGTTTTTTTTAGGTTCAAAGTATGACCTGCGGCTTTAGCTTTTCGTTGTAGCGCGCTTTTCGAGCGCATTCAATGAATAAATAAATTATAACACGTACGCTTTTTGTCGCAGTGTTTCCAGCAACTCTTTCTCAATTTATAAGAACAGAGGCAGTCAAACATGCGTTCAATTGGGAACGATTTCTGCAGCTACAATTGCTGCGAAGTGTTACGGGAGAACTGCTCTGAAGAGATCTTTGACCACCTCTCACATTCGCTCTACAGTGAATAATATAAGACCGATGCCGAACCTTGCGAATCGAGCGATTCACTATTAGCGATTCGCAAGTCTGTCATCAGCCTAGAATGTTTTCCAAAGACTTCTCAATAAGTGACAGTGAATGCGCCGACATTTCCGACCTCATATTTCCCGTACCACAAATTTCATTTTCATGGTAGACATTCGACTGAAATACTGCTTTCCAATTGAAAAAGCCACAATGTTGGAAATGAGGCTTCACTATGCTCACATCCTGAACTAGAAGGCATCGGAACCGACGTTCTTTAATCAAACCAGTACGATTTCACTGCACATGCATACATCAAGTACAGAAATACATTAAGTTATCGAGAAATGTGCGGGATGATCGGCTACTTTTCTTCGCTTTTCGGTTTCTCTTCTTCACTCTTCTGTAAACAAAATGGATTTTTGAGAACAAAAAACACAGTAATGAGGACATACCTTTTCACCGCCAGGAAGATCGTCAATGATTTGCCGTAGCAGTTCTGGATTATTGATCAATTCATCGAGATTATCCTGAAAGCGATTAAACTAAGAAAAAACACTACGTCTTGATGTTGTTGTTCCGCCGTACAGGTTGTTACGATGGAACTCCCTTATTCGGTCGACGTTTCGAACAATTCGTCGTCTTCAGGACCTCTGTAGTTCCACCAGCGCCACGTGCTCCCCGTTTCTTCGAACAGTTGCGGAAAAAAGCACGGAGAGAGGAAAATTGGGAGCACGTGGCGCTGGTTGGAACTACAGAGGTCCTGAAGACGACGAATTGTTCGAAACGTCGACCGAATAAATAGTTCCATCGTAACAACCTGTACGGCAGAACAACAACATCAAGCAATATTTCAACATGCCCAAGGTTTCAAGAAGACCGAACATGGAATCTACTAAGTCTTCTGCAAAGATCGGATATAATTACCACTTGCGCAGTGCTCACATCCATGACCTCCTCTGCAGATTGCGCCGGTTGTGGTTGAGCAGCTGGAGCTGAAAGTGAGCAAAATGATGCATAGATTTACCCTGTCAACTTTTGCAATTTACAGCACCTGGCACAGAATCTTGCATGGACATGCGCAACGCCCATTCCAACTGCTGCTCTTCTGTCATTTCCCCCATTTCCATATCCATGACGTCAACATTCTGGATAGAATAAGGTGCCATTGATTCAAAGATCACTCTACCTCCACGCTAAAATACCTGTGCCTGTTCAGATCCTCCTGCAGGCTCAGCTGCAGCGGTTCCACTTGCAGCGGCAGCCGCAGCAGCTTCGGCAGCTTGTCGAGCTCTTTCTTCTTCCATAGAAACACGCAGTGCCTGACAATATCTCGAAAATAATTCTCTTCTCAAGAAAAAAAAAAGACATCGACACTGAATGGACTAACCAGAGCAAGATCAGGATCGTCTTCAGGGTCAACTCCAAACTCGAAACCGCCTCCAGCGCCAACTACTGGTGCATTACCTCCATCCTCTCCACGACAAACAGCAGACGAGATCAATGCCTCAGTGAGCACTGATCCTGCTGGTACTACAAGAAGATTTGAACCGCTGCCTTCTCTGAAACGAGTAGGGGAATGTGTTTGTCAAGAAGTGTGGGAAGGGAACCGTTATATCAATTCACTTACTTGCCGTTCAAAGTGTCCACAAATTGGCCCATTATTTGACTATTTTCCGAATCGGCTTCACCGAAACAGATGACATCGCATTGAACCTTCTCCTTTTTCAATTTCTTTGCGATTTTTGTTAGCTGCAATAAAATACTTCAACAATGAGGGAAGGGCTCCAATTCTCAACTAAGAGCAACTTGTTGTGATTCAGTACCTCAGTAGAATCGAGATTATCAATCGGACTACCAATAAACATTACGATGCGCATCTTATGATTACGATTCTGACGATGTTTCAACGCCAAATGAGCTATTTTAATGGCTGACATGAAGTTGCATACTCCCTAAACATTCAATGTTAAACAAACTTGAGCAACAACCAAACAGCTTAAATGCAGTGGAAAATTAGAGTGAACAACCAAACGTCGACAAATTTACGTTTTACATGCAATACTTAAATGGCCGCGGAGCATCTATACCAATGACCAACAAAACAACTTAATATTAACTTACCTGAGGTTCCAACTGATGCAGCTTCATGAAAAGTCGTCCACTTTCCTGTGTCATAGTTGACAGAACTTGAACTTGACTGAAATGTAGTCAATCACTTTCCCAATGATTACCATAGAGCGGGTGTCAAAGTTGGAGATTGTTCGATCGCTGTAGCGATTGCACGGTTGTGATTGTGGGGGTCTTTATTGACCCGTATGATTTGAACTGAGATGCTCAGCAATTGCGCTGCCGCTGCCACGATCGCACAATCACTGTGTCTGACTTTCATCTACTACCCCTCTCACATTGCGGCAGGATCGGCAATGGGTGTGGTTTGCTAGAACAGGAAGCGAATGTTCCGCCTTTTGCTCCGCAAAACTTTTCTCGCTACGAAAACCCCAGGTCCTCTCCCGGTCAGTCGTGGACTTTCTTGTCGTCGCGCAAAATTTTTTCCCCTCCCCTCTGGATCCCGCAGCGAAAAAATTTGCGCTAAGAAAGGAGCAAGTCGATTTCTGTAGCGAAACACATCTGATTGTTCGAGCGCGGCAGCGCTGCTGCTGTTGCGATCGCCGAGCCTGATATCCACTTACATGGAAGGTCTTTCAGGGTGTGCCTAGCTTTTTCAGAAACGGTCTTTTGCATGATATAGAGGCACATGTATTTTTCCTGAACGGCCCTCTGAATACCAGAAAAGGGGGTCCCTAGTCACACCTTTTTCACCAGTTTTCAATCAAAGTCTATTTGTAAGGGTTACTGACGGTCCTAATCATGAATTTGGTACTAATTATTCATGCTAACTCCATTTTGCGCGAATTTTGAAACGTCAACTCGAAATGCAAAAATTTGTCACCACGAGGAATCGAACTAGGGACCCCTTTTCTGGTATTCAGAGGGCCGTTCAGGAAAAATGAACCATGCTTCTGTGGTCCCCATATGTGCCCCAATGTCATGCAAGAAACCATTTTGAAAAAGCTTGGCACACCCTGAACGACCTCCCTTGTGAGAGGATTCCACGGGATGAACGAAGGTCGAAGAATGGGGAAACTTACCTAGTGGAGAGACAGGCGGACCCTAAGGGTGCGGACCAACACGCAATTCGCATCGAAGGATATGCCCCGGCGATCTGGCATGGCCTTCCCTTTGGCGCAGTTGGCCCGGAACGCCCACCGACATAGCAGAGAGAGCGTTAGCGTTGAAGAGGGCACGATGAGAGTCGCATCAATGCGGAAATCAACGGGCAAGGAAGGGTCCCATTTCTCGGGTTTCGGGCCGTTTCACATGGTTTCTTCTTCATCCCTGCTCCACTGACCACCTCTACCCTTATTTTCGAATGTGCTACCCTTTCATTGTAAAATTAGCCTTTAATAAATTGATGTTATCACCATTTGAAGCTACTGCAGTTAACGAACAACTACTTCAATCTATACTCTTTCCAACCAAGCGAAACAAATAGTGCTGAGACGTCAACCTTATGGTGAGACGAGAAATATTTACATTGTTGATAATGTGTTTGCTTGGCGACATGGGGCCGGGGAAGCAAGCCCCAACTAGGGGATGGGGACCCATCCCCTATCCCCGACGTTGGGGATATGTCCCCAACGTCAGGGATAGGGTACAGGTCCCCATCCCCTAGCTAGGGCTTGCTGCACCCGGCCCCTGAGCTTCAACCAGTACGAGCTTGGCTAAACTGATTGTGTCAAACAGAGACATTCCAACAGTGAGAAATATTCAGACAATTACCAATTTGAACAGAAATAATTAAATTGGCATCATTAAGTTACCTAATTCTCTTTCGCGCACCCAAAGACGGAAAGCCATAAAAACTAACTTAGCCATTGAAAGAAGCCCCACTGCATTCTCCGGATTGGCACGCAGCTTGCACTGCAGAATCAGATTCGCGGCGTCCTGCTGGCACTGCAGCCGAGTCGGAACGAAGTCTCCGTTGCGCATCCATTCAGAATTGTCCACACTGAAAGACAATGCGTAATAATAGCGTACAAAACATCTACTCCGTTACCACTGCGATGACGATACACACAAAATGAAAATGCAAACATACCAAATCATAGTACTTTCCTGAACCATTCTGAAAATCGGGGTTGCCGTCCAATTTCGACAAGGCTGTAACAGAAGATCTTGGTAAAATTGACCAAAGGTTGATACGAAAACGAAGTACAAAACAGATATGGAAGTGAAAAGGTAAACCAAGATGAACAACAAATATTAACAAGCACAATATGTGAAGTAAAGCTTTATATATTTTATATTTGGACCCGCATAATTTCCAGAAGAAACGCTTTGATCAAGCAGATCGTGCTTTGTTTTTCATAAAATCGACAACAGGAAAGTTTTCGTCGATATCTGGAGTAGGATTATAGTACGGCTCTTCGCGTTTCAGTCCATAACGTGCGAGCTGATCTGCTGTGGGTGCTAGACTCTTCTCCGGTATCAACATCTGAAGAACAAAATTGAGTGCTACATGCGATGAAAAACATAGGAAAAAAACGAATTCGAATTATTTCGATCATATATTACGGAACGAGTAAAGATCACAGATTCAGTAATGCACCGAAAAGAGCCACGAGAGAAATCACCTGCTTAGATTCGTCCACAGAAATATGTGAGATTCTTCCCAACATGGGTACTATGTATTGTTTGGAAACCTGGAACAAATGATCAAATAGACTTGCACCAACTGACACCATATCAAACATTTTGGTAGTGAATAGACGCACTGATGACAAGGGCTATCTTATGGCATCGAAATAATGAATCCAGCGACTTCAAGAAAGCCCTAACTTATGAAACGAGAGAAGGAGTTCTTGATGCATGCGGACTGCGTGACACTCGAGCTGCTTATTCTGCCTACTGTGTCTCGGCTTGCATGACCAAAACTTCATAGAAATGATTTTTCCCATGAGTTTCATTTGTGGCATTATGTATCTCTAATAATTTGAAGTCATAAAAAGGAAAATGAAGCTGTAAGGAAAGCAGCACAACAGCGTCAGGTTGGAGTATTACAGCAGCTGATAAAAACGAAAACGGAACAAACCACTACGTAAAATCGAATGAGTTTGGCTTCAATCTCAAAATTTGGACCGCTTATAGTGACGTCATCCAAGTATATAGAATCGTCAAGCATATCAACTCCCTGAAATGAGCTCCTTAATAGAGGCCGAGGTTTTAAAGAAATTTAAACTTACCATCTGCCTCAAAGAAGTTTTTATTATTTGTTTATCGATAGTCCACTTATTATCCATGCTGACTTTGATGGGAACAACAAGGGCTTGTAAATCTCGTCCCACACAAATATATTCATACGGAATTCGCACACGTTTGGCTAATTCGTCAGCCATTTCCTAGAAATCGAAATAATTTGTTAACCATTTGTTATGGCATTTAGCATCATGCTTTTTATTGTTCAAAGTGATTTGAGCCATAAACCCAAATTCTGAGTGCTGCTTCAGAAACATAAAATAGGTGATACCTCCAATCAGCAGTCTGGGGGCAACGCCCATAATCAGTACGTACTTGATTGCAGCGGATTCCTCAACCCCCATTTCCTTGATTTTTTTGTTTTGGTGCTGAGGATAGATAACGTACTACAACATCCATACTGTTACATATAATACTCGCTCGCTTACGATTTTAACAGGACGATATTCGGAAATTCCATAAAACTAGTACCTATGCTAGAGCTTGGGGCATTTTGGAAGTTAACGTTCGGTCGCACAAGGAAGTAGCTCAAAGCGGTATGAATTTAGTTATTTGTATTTTAATTCAGGTCATAGGAAAATGCAAATAATTCGTTAGAGAAGTGCAACAAATGAATTCTTGGGTAGAATTTGTCGAGCAACAACGCATAAACAGCTCAGAACAAAATGTGATGCGACGCATGTTCGCGTACCTCAATGCGCAGCGGGGAATCCGTGAGCCAGGGGAAGTGTAGCCAGTCTAGGGGTGGGGGGTGAGGGCAGTCACTTGACATGCGTGAAAAGCTGGAATGTTCGAGTTCATTATGTCGCGAACATGCCATCCCCGACTGCCCCCCCCCCCGAGTCATATTGAGCCCAGTCGTCATTCAGCCATGACTATCAAGCAGTAATGGCGACAGCATTGGAGAGCAGTGTTAATCGGGGCACTCGTGATTTCCGTGATCCGTGGCGCGAATAAAGCGACGGATCGCGGACTCTGACACCCGCCTGACGAAGCGTAGCGTAGGCGAATTTCAGTCGAGAGTTGGATAGGTATTGACTGTGAGAAACTGAAGGGCGAAAAATCAAAAAAAAAGCGAAGCGTAGGAAGTCAATACGTATGTAACTCATTTTTGCCAATCCTCCCTCTTCACAATCTCCTGTGCATCCTTGCCTAATCGATACTTATTTCATTTTACTTCAACGTACTTTTATTTTTTCGCTCGAAAATATGAACGCACGATTAAACTAAATAAAATAAGCCTTGATGCAACCAGCTCCTGAGCGGCGTGGTTCGCGCTGCCAAACGTGGAAAAGTCGCTTTCTGTCCAAGTGAACAACAACCCTCCCCTGCAGCCAACTAGCGCCGGAGTGAAATTCGGTCAACCATAATCAAAAAATCATGATGTTCTGAATTACAGGAATTTCACTTCTAAATGTTTTAGTCCTTCCAAATGGATGCAAACATCCTGCCAAACCATAACTCGAGTGTGGTCCACTAGAACAGAAAGCGACTTATATGCGTTTCGCAGCGCGAAACTTTTTTGGCACGGGAACCTCAGGTCCACCGCTAACCATGGGTTCAGCAGGCATCAACGAGGGGATGAGGACCCATCCCCTCTCTCCAAGGTTGGGAATATATCCCCAACGCGGGTGAGGGGATGTGTCCCCAAGGTTGTGAATATGTCCCCAAGGGTGGGGATATATTCCCAACCTTGGAGAGAGGGGATGGGTCCTCATCCCCTCGTTGATGCCTGCTGCACCCATGGTTAGCGGTGGACCTGAGGTTCCCGTGCCAAAAAAGTTTCGCGCTGCGAAACGCATATAAGTCGCTTTCTGTTCTAGTGGACCACACTCGAGTTATGGTTTGGCAGGATGTTTGCATCCATTTGGAAGGACTAAAACATTTAGAAGTGAAATTCCTGTAATTCAGAACATCATGAT